AAAGTGAAGAATGATCATCGCAGTAAATTTTCCAATTTAAGCAATTGGAAAGAAGAAGCCTGAAAAAAGAAAAAAAAATCGGGGCTTCAACGGGATTCGAACCCGTGACCTCCGCGTTACCGGTAACGCAGAGGTCACGTGCTCGAATCCCGTTGAAGCCCCGATTTTTTTTAAGGCTTCTTCTTTCCAATTGCTTAAATTGGAAATTCACTGTGATGATCATTCTTCACTTTCATCTACAACCACAGTTCAGAAATGAATTATTTCATATACTTCACATTAATAATGTTTATTCAGAATATTGCAACTAAGCAAGAAAAGAAAACCGATGAAGGCTACATGATCAGAATAGTTCTTCCTTTGAGAGATCAGATAGCTGCTAGGCAATTGCTTGATCTCAGCAATAAGATTGCCATCACTTTACAGCCTATTTTTGTGAGCAAAAAATTGGAGCAAGGTCTTAAGCCTGAAGAAATTAAGATGAGTATTGTAAATCAGCAATGCGTTGGTTATAAATTTGCATGAGATCTGTGTGATGCAGATTATATTGGCTACACAGGCCAACACCTTCATCAGCGCATTGCCGAACACAAATATTCAGCTATCGGTAAACATTTTTTAGAAGCGCACAGTAACAAAAATCTTCTCAATGAGGGCCAATTTCGCATTCTCAAGAAATGCCATGGGAAATTTGACTGCCTCATTGACGAAATGCTGTTCATCAAAGAACTGAGGCCTAGCCTTAACACTCAGAGTGACTTCATCAGTGCTAAACTCTTTGTTTGACTTGTAACACATTTTTATATGTTACTTCCCTTTTAATGAACTATTGTTTTTCTTGTATTTATAGAACATTCATATTGTATTTCTTTTCACTTGATAATGAAGCCCAATAATGTCGAAACATTGTGTATTTTTTAACTAAATTAAAATGTCAAATGTTTTTAAGAAAAGTTTTTTCGCAATTTTTTATAGCTAAATTGTTATATAGAAAAGAAGCTGGAAGTTCATTTAACCTCACTGTAATGGTGGTCATTGGCCAACATTTGCTGTCATAATGTCTGGCACATTAATTTGATCATATGTTTATGTTAATTTGCACAATGTAAATGATAAGTATTATCATAGATTTTACACTGTTGCCTGCCCAGAGATTTTGGTGAAAAAACCATTTCATTATTAGATGTCATGTGACCTCGAAGTAACCAATGAGAGCACATGTTGTTGGGAGGAAATTTCCAGCCATAGAATAATATTTGTTGTTTTAGCCAGTGTAAGGGTCAATCACCCTTGCCTAAAATGCCCAAAATATCTTCAAGTACATCATGTGTGATGCCTAGATATTTAAGACTAATGCAGTTGCAAAAAGAAAGCCTGAAAAAAATCAGGCTTGCTGCGATTTGAACCCCGGCCTCTGTGATATCTGTGTAGTGTTCTAACCAGTTGAGCTGGCAAGTCAACTAGAAGCTGGTTTAAATTGATTCATAATTATTGACATTACAGTCAATTGTCTCTTAGTGATGGACACCTCCAACTGATGTTTTAAGTTGGTCTCTGCCAATCTGCAGTTCTTTAGCTTGGCTCTCTGAAATGGATACTTAGCCGTGCCAGTGTTTCTCACCCAGAGAGTTGAGAGTTGAGAGTTGATTGTGTGACGTACAAGTTTAAGTGGGGTTTAAATGCAATGATGTTTCGACATGCTGAGAAGATTTCAAGAAGATTGCACCTTCACTTTTTTACCCATTTTTCTTATTTCTGTATTAATTTTTGTATTTTGTACTGTAGTGTAATTAGTATAATTAGTCCACTATGGTCGTTAATTGTATATTGTACTTTTTGTGGATTACTGTACTAACAACTGACACTGACCCAGGCCGGGGTTGTTCAAACACTGGATGAATATATCAGATCCAGTGGATAAAGCACTATCCAGCAGGCAAGGTTCAGGGAATGCGATATCCACTGGATAGAGATTAATCAAAATAATGGAAAGCATTGTCCTCCTTGCGAACAACAGGGGCCGATTGAATAACTCATCGCTTGCACAAGTGACAGACAAAGACTGCACACAACAAACTATTTCACAAAAACTTTAATTTAAAAAACTTTTTTACATTTCAAGTTTGTTACAACACAAATACAGCAGTTCAATACAACCCCCATCCTCCTGTTCAGTTGATTATGTGTTAATGACCCACATGACCTTGGGTTGCCTGTGCAGCCCTGACATGAATAGTGTGAATTTATATCAATATAGTTTTTAAAAAGAATTAGAAAAATTGAATACAGTTCTTTGAACCAAACTAATGAGTATTCTTATAACTTTTTTAGCAAAGGATACCTTTGAAGTTAATTGTTTCAGAAACAGAAACAGGTACTAGTGATTATAGTAGAGAACATGTGTTGATTTAAATGCCTGACTCAACAGACATTAATTTTTTTTAGCATGTATTGTAAATTCGTTTTTTTTTTTTTTTTGCATCAAGACTTATCTGTGTCTGAGTTAAGTCTGGAACAAAAGTCATCATTTTTGTCCTCATGCACAGCAGGATAATCTCAGTCAGTTGATCATTTGCTAAGTTTTGAGACCCTTATGGATAGAAGACGCAGTCTTGGAGTGCAACTTCTTACTCACACCACTATGGAGTTATGCCACTGAGACCAAACTTCAGATCCAGTGTCTACCGAATCTAAGTCTATTTTTCCAATTTTGCTTGTTGAAAGCTATCCAATAAATTTAAATCTGTAACCTAACAACCTCTCTCCTCCCAAAATAAATAATTTTCACTGAGTAGTTTTGTGAGTTCACTGAAACTTTTTATTTATTCCATCCTTGTTTCGGTAAAGTTTAGCTCTGTTCAGATTTGCTTCTATGCACCAGTCCATAGAAGAAAGAATGTTTGTTTCTCAGCAAGGCTTGTGGGGTGTCAAACTCGATCACAGTCCCTCGATCCATGACAAGAACACGGTCACTATCCATGATGGTATTGAGCCTAAAACAAGGGAGATTGCATTGATTAATCATTGAAAGATTAAGAAAGCTTGCTTGTCAACCGGAAGTCAGGCTTTTTCCCTTTTAATGTGCCTTGACACAACCAAATATGTATTGCTAAGGGTCGTTACACTTATAGAGACGATTTGCGCAAAAATCTGGGCAAAACCACTGCCCTGCAATGCAAAAAGTCCACTTCAGGTTGACGTGTGTCTCTCAAAAACGTCTTTGTATAATAAGAAAATGAGAGAAGCGTCAAGTTACAAAGGAACTCTTCTGAATTGTAACAGTCTTCTTGCGCCGCTTTCTATTATATTATTAACAGGTCATAATTGTCTAAGGCGTTAGACGCGATGTTAGTAGACATAAAAAGCTCGGAACGTAGCTGGTATTCGAGAAGGTCAAGCTTCATGGTACGTCCTTTTGTTCAATGCCTATCACCTACAAATATCGCGAAAAAAGAGGCTCAGACGCATCGCTTGGTTTTCGATATGATGAGCACGCGTCCCGCGTACTGACTGCAGATGGTCAGAATTTGGAGACTTAAATCACTTACAAAAGCGGAAAACGTAAGTTTTTATCCGGTGACCACCTTTTCCCTTTCGTCTTCTGTTGATTACATCCACAGAAAAATTAGTACACTACTTTCGTGTCAGGTTCACCCATAAGGGTTATTTTGCAAAGACTGTTTTTATCAGCTCATATCCTAATTTAAAAATTGTCAACTGACGTTTGCCGTCAGCCGCAAAACTAGCCTGCGAAAACATCCGTTTCTCCTCGCTCTTCGCAGGTTACCGCAAAACGGACTCTAATTCTCTCTATTAATTCAGAAAAAGAAAGAAAGGTAAAAAAATTCGCTTATGTTTCATCATTTCATGTTTTATTGATCCTACTCTAGAACAAAGCCGCCAACTCAACTGAGGGGTTTCAACTCTCTGTCAAACTTGAGTAATCATGATCAGTACCACATCATTTCTCGCTGGTATCAGCCTATCTAACCTGTGAGCAATTGTTAAAACAGTGCTCTCCTTAAATTCACTTTTGATCGTCTGCTGTATCAGTTTGTCTGTTTCCAGCTCAACGCTCGCAGTTGCTTCATCAAGGCACAGCACCTGAGAACAATAAGGGAGTTTCCTAAGCGGTCGTAGCAGGCGCCGGTTTTTAAGAGTGAAGTAGGCCTCCTCGCCCTCCGCGTGTTCCGTTCGCGCGGCCTGCAAAGAAACTAACCGGCGCCTGCTACACAGTCTAAAGTGGTCGCAAAAAAGGGAGAAGTTAACACCCAAAATTTAAGAGAGCAGAATGCTACAAACTAGGACAAAACTTGTAGAGGCATTATTCGTACTTTTTCCTTTCACCATGAACAGATGCAAACCGTCGCTAAATTAATGATTGTCCCCCCATTATTCCAATGTTGTTTTGTGTAACACTAGAAATATTCACGTTGGTGTTTATATCAAAACAGCAGTGAATAGGGAAGGGGGTGACTTTGTCCTGATTAGGCTAAGAAAAACATGGGAGAATGTCGCGAAATTAGAAAGTAAATGGAACTGTCTTAGAGTTTCCTCCGAGGTTGTAACTAAATACTGCCAGCTCTACTGAGAGACAATCATTCTTGCTTTTCCGCTGCTGCTGAAAACGAATAAGGCAATAGGATATTGTATTCCATATTTTGAACTCACTAACAAGATTTAAAATTCCAAAGGTTTTTCCAAGAAATATAAGGAATAATATAGAGAAGGTTTGATTGGCTCTTATGCTTACATTATGTTTGTTTAATTTGAAATATGAGTGCCTGGACATCTTGGTATTGGTCCCGCGAGGCAAGCCTCCGAAATAGAGGGCGGGAGGACAAAATTGGGTGTTTTTGAGCGCAACATTTCCCCCTTCCAACTGCCTTTCGAACGCCTGTCAAAAAGACAGGCTATGTTGGTAACCTGTAATTAAGAATGGGGTTGTCATAAATTGAATTTTCAAGTTTCGTCAGAATTTTTTCCCCAAAGTAATTAATTACCTTCGATCGCGTCAAAAGAGCTCTGGTTAAACAGATGAGCTTCCGCTGACCAACTGAAAAATTACAACCACGTTCACCGACATCAGCGTCCAGGCCCCCTGGAGAGATATAGAGCAGTGAAGAACTGAAATTCAACTGATCACTCAGTTTTCGTATAACGCTTTAGAGCCGAGAGACGCGGTGAGAAGCAGGCCTTGCTCAGTATGTCTTGCTAGCTGCCTTTTTTCAATTCGAAAGGCCACGCTCTAAGTCTTGTACATATAAGTTTTCGAACGTTCTTTTTTCTTGGAATTATGGACGGCTCACGAGCAGCTTACGAAACAGTAGTCTCAAAACACATAACGAAACAGTAGTCTAAAAAAATATAAAGAAACAGTACTCTCAAAACATATAACAATCTCCTTTGTCACCATTAGCTAATGAATGATTCCCTCACAAATTACCTAATCTGCCAGGCTCCTACACAGAAGACTGCGTGATTACAAACAAGTCAACAAAAACCCTATGTTGTAAACATACCGAGTTGTCTTACAGCGTGTTCCAGGTGACAACGATCTAAAACTGTCCATAACTGCGAGTCAGAATGCTGTGAAAAGCAAGGCAAAAGAACAGACTAAACACAAACCTACTTAAGTGTCATAGTATTATAGTTCATTTCCTTTTCTCTCCCTACTTCGTTTAAAGCACTTCAACAGTTTTCAAACTCTCGGTGATTTCTGCGCGGGTGGACGGACTGAGAGTGCAAATACAAAGAAACCTTCATACGTTAATCTTTGATCCCAAATCTATTAGAACGTTTAACTATTCATGATTCTTTTGATAGGAAGTTCCCAGACAAATTTTGCATGCACAAATCCATATCTTATGCGATGGCGTGTTTTCTTTTTCCAATGAAAGTTTACCTTCCTCCACGGGTCAAGATTATTTCGCACTCCACCGCTAAACAATAAAGCATCCTGAGGAATAATAGCCAACCGCGATCTACGAAAAAACAGACGACACAGAACTTATGTATTAATTGAAAAACATTTAGATTAAGACATATGAAAAACATCATCATCATCAACCTGGTACAATAAAATAAATGGTATTCTGCGGAGCAACGCTACCAGGACAGTAGCGTGCGAAGCTGTTGCGTGGTTTCGTTTGCCGAGAGAAATTAGCGGCGAACCCGGGAAAGGAATTACCGTAAATTTGTCTTCATGGCCATCCAAGAAAACGACCAGCTACTAAGGCCATCATAAAAGTGCTGAAATCTTTTGTGTGCAAGGACACCAGAAATGAAACCAAATATACATACAGGGTTCCTTGGTGTCGGGTACCACACGATTGCAGCGTACAGGATTAAGTTTCATGCGGGATAAAGGGGAACGCCTTGTCGACGCAAAAATTAAGGAGACGATATTTAACCTTGCATTACAGTCGGAGGAAGCTGAAGAAACAGTGAAGAAACAGGCAGGACATCAAACCAGGCAGGCACAGAAATACCAACCTCAGAATGTTCAGAGGGACAGAAGCCAAACTGATACCGTCTAGGAATACAGCTCCTTCGAATCTGTTGACCATGCTAAACAGTACTTGGAAGAGACTAGACTTGCCAGATCCCGTTCAACCAACAATGCCGAGCTACAAAAAGGAAAAACCTGAATTGATATGAGTCCTTCATTCTGATATTGAATCTGTTAGTCGGCCTCTAACGTTCCAATAAAGAGAACTAATTGTTTTCTTTATTACCCTAGCTACTACATAGTTGCCCGTTACCTTTTCTCCTGCATATGTTGAAAATGAAACTCCGCGCAAAGCACGAGGCAAACCAACTCTGTCGGGACAAAGAAAGCAAAAGAAAGACAATTTCACATAGTTAAATACGCAATCTTTTCCCGCGAGGACGCATTCCAGAGGAATGGGTAACACAAATTTCGATGTGTAAATATGACACTGACATAGTTGAGACATAATCTCTGATACCCAAGTCAGTAACGATAGATAGAACAGTCAATTTGCCATAAACATGTAGAAATGCTGAAAACTAAATGCCAAGTGCAGTTTGGCTCATACGAAATGTTGCGCGCTTCGTACAACTAGTGCGCCCATCTCGGGGTTTTCCCTATTTATTTTAGCGTACGTAGCAAGCAACTGATTCATGTACATGTATTACGGTGCTGGGATCGAGTCTCCCGCACCTAAACAAACAATTTTTCGTGGGCTTGGCCTCAGCTTCACGTTCTCCGCGTGAGGATGTCTCAAGCGGGCTCTTCGTTCGCGCTTCGCAAAACCTATTTAGGGGAAATAACCCACTGTGTTCAAACGTTTGGCAGTTACGGCGGCTTTGTTTCATCATTTATGTACTAGTTATAAGATTAGTCATAGTAATTTTAAAGAGTTAATTGTACAACGATTTCGAGTGCCCTTACCGATAAACAAGGCTGACTTTCTGGAAAGTAAGCTGACCACGAGATGGCCAAGTGGAAATGACCTGAAAGAAAAATTTAATTTAAAATACTTCAGCGGGCGAAGTCTGTACAAGTCGTTCGCGCCGTTAGTTTCAGTACTCATGGGTTTATCTGAGAGTTAAGTCAATCATGTACAAGACGTCGTAAATGTCTATAGATTAAAAAGAAGATATGAGAGGGAGAAGTCTTTGAGAGTAACCAAGAGTACAAAATTCGCCTTAAGTTATATAAATATAAGAGTTCATTAAATGCTTTGGAGGCGCAGAAGAATCACAAGATATTGCTCTGTTCGCGTCAGGTGCAAGAGCCTCCCCGAATTGTTGTACGAAAGAAAATTAGATATCTAAAGCAATTATGCGCGAATCTAGTGAATCGACCTGACCGCAAAACGATTAAGAACGTTTTAACTCTTGTCATCTCCTGTCTAGGCCAGGGTCGAGGGAGCAGGAGGTTGCTGGAAGTAAAAACGAGCCACTTATCATTTGTACTGACCGTGCCACGAGGACTGATTTCAGGCTGAACATCTTCAATTTACTGGACCGCTCGCTCCACGCTCATCATCTGTCTCTCAGTTTCGGTAAATGACGTCACCATGCCTGAGAGGCGGCCCTTGACTGACAGCGCGTACGAAATTGGCAAACCCACCAGGCCTTTAGGGAGAGGCATACGGAACAATATAAAAATAAATATCACTTGGATGTTACCACCATGGCATCTTAAATTTCACGGAGTTGTGGGACCATGAAATTTAAGGTGTGCCTAGCCCTCAAAAATCACTCATTCTAAAAAGAGTATGTAGCCAAGATTCAAAGGACCCTTCACAGTTGATGGAGAACATAAATAAACAATATAGTCGCGCAGTTTAAGGGATGGTAACGAGGTCAAAGTAACAGAAAGTCGGGAAAGGAAGGATTTGAGGGTATAAATACTTAATTATCTTCACCCTTGTGGGGCTTTTATGAAACAAGCAATACAAGTGGAACATAACATGGTTAAGATTGTCATGCGGTAGGAGGCGAACCAGTTGGCTATCTTTCAGGCGTTGGTGAGGATTTGAACTCAGGACTACCGAGGACAAATCCAGTTGCGAGAATTGAGCTCGGTACCCCCAGGTTCAGCACTCTGGCCTCTCAGCCACGCCGCTTCCGGAAAATAGCCCAGAACGGCAATAGTTCTGACTGAAAATAAAGCGCAAGGCGGCACACTGTATGGGAATGCAATAACTGGATGGGAATGTAAAATCAAGAAAACTGCATTTGGACCTCGCGTTTGAAGTTTTAAGAGGCGCTATCCTCTATTGAAGGTCTGACGACATGCCTGAAGAACGCCACGTTCTCACTGTAGGACATTGTAGGATTCTGCTGGAATGTAATAAAAGCTATGGCGTCACGATCTGCAAGGAAGTCTACCTGTGCATGTACACAAAGAAAGACACTCACCTGGATCAACGGTACTGAAAGTGATGCTCAAGCACCGCAATAAACGTCACAGCAGTTACCACAGCAACACCACTATACTGTAAGAATAAGCCTAACCACTGTGACGACACAGGAGCTGACGAGAAGAATGATTAAATGATTTAATTACAATAACATCTCTCAACTACCGACCAGCTGAAAAAGCTGAGGACTCTGAGCGTGAAATTGTTTTGGTCGCTGCGAGTACTTTCCGAAGTCGAATTTTCTTACTACAAAAGTTCGCTCGTTAGTTGATTTCCAGCCTGTGTTCATTTTCCTGTTTGAACCTTGCTACATCTCTAAACGCTCGGATGGTAGCAAGGCCTGTCAAAGTCTCTGAAAAGTGCGCGCAAATCGGCGACAAGGTGACACTCATCAGACGCTTTAACTCTCTGCATAAAGAAAACAAGGTTGTTCACAATACTAAGCCGTGCAATTAAAGTCGGAGGTGAAAATGAAAAATTTGAAAGGAAAGGTTTTAAGACTAAATACAGTCAAATCTCTTTAACCCGAACACCAAGCAACAGAATGAAAGCTTAAAATGCAAAAGGGTTGGTATTTCAGAGGGAGGGATAGTCTTACCTGTGGTGTAGAGCCAAGAGAATTTCTATTAGTGGGTGTCGCCAACCAACAACAAACAGGAAAAATTACTTAGTGCCATTTAAATTTCAAAAAAAATCAACAATCCAAGGTTGTTTTTAAAAGAATTATAGATTTTTTTTTATGATAGCTAGTTCAAAGAGCTTTAATCTGCAGTTTAACTGGGACGCGCTACGTCACAAGCACATGAGATGTCCTTGAAGGCATCCGTTAACAGTTAGTCTGATTATGGGTAAGAAGAATGGTATAGCTATTCTTTTCGTTGACAGAGGGACGTAGAGCACACACTAACAACAGTTTTCATAAAATTGACTGTTTTTGCTGCCGTTGTGTCGATCAAGAAATGCGATGAATTTTTAGACCATAAGTTTCAAAATAAGAGTGAAATTTGAAATAAAACAACTTTTGTCAGCGCATCTCACTAATTGCAGAGAAACAATTCGTTTTATCAGGGGCACCCAACGTCAATTTTCGGGAAAATATTTGTTCGGAAGACGATTTGAGATCTAGAATTTTCGAAACATTTGTTGTAAAATTTCTTGCTTGCCTGCCTCTCCTAGGATTTTCGAACATCTAAAATATGGTATAATTGCCTATTTTTAAAGGATTTTTACCCTAAAAAGGTTACCTAGAATTTTCGGGAGCCTTTTTTCTGGCTGAAATTTTCGAAAAGGTATGTTTTGATCCCTATAATTTTCGGATCACTAGACTTCCAGATAGGAAATCCGAACAGATGAACAACTTTTAGGGGATAAAAATATGCCTATATCTACCTTTTAAATAGTAAAATACGTTAAACTATGCTATGTTTAAGTGGTTTTGGACTATATTCTCGTTGGGTGCCCCTGATGTTATATATACACCGAGACAAGCCCACACCAGTGCTGACAGTTGAACCTCTATGTGCGACCACCTCAAGTAAGCGGCCATCTCCCACATGCGACGATCTATCCAAAACACTAAGATTTTCTTCAACAAAACTCTATAATTCGAATCTCTCGTAAACGACCACCCCCTCGTTAGCAACCGTGAGCACTTCTGAGACCAGTTCAATAATTCTTCGTTGTTTCAACCTTTTGTAAGCGGCGACCACTTGACGTATGGTCTGATCTCTAGTACACTGTATCTGCCTCGTTACTTAATGAATATGAAGAACGTCACAACATATCAAAACTTATAACTTGCATGCAACGAATTTTCTTCCAAAAAGTACAGGGCCTATTCTCGAAAAGACCCTCTGTTGTCCTATTCTCGTAAGTGATCACCTCCCGTAAGCGACCACTAAATCTTGGCATCCGTCGGGTGGTCGCTTTAAGGAGGTGCGACTGTAAAAATAAACTCACTCTAAAGATTGCTTTCTCAGAGCATTTACTTGTAATTTCACATTCTTTTCTTCCTCGCAGAGGTCTCTTTGTGTCTCTAGGAGAGAGGGGAAAGGGAAGCGTGCAGGCACGGACGCGGAGAAAGAAGGAGGGAAACCGCGCCTTTCTCTTTTCCCGTAGTCCCACACGCGTTAATTACTCTTACAGTTTTACTCAAAATTTTGTGAATAAGATATACCAGTAGCAGCCTCTGCGAAGGAGAGTGTGCTTGCAGCTTATGTTTCAATTGGCAATGAAGCTAAGCAGCTTCAAAATAGCCAGCTCAACGGAATGGGAAATGCAAAACTTGTCCGGCGCTCGGTCCACTTTTGGTGCTCCTTCTTGTGCAACTTCTTTTAGCTGGTCATTATGGAAGTTCGCTGTGACTTTCATCAACACTCACACTGTCACTATCACTCCCGGATCGAGTAATCAACGTCTCAGAAATTTAGGGTCACACCTACAGGAAACCTCTGTAAGATTCGATAACTTGCGAAAAATTAGAGCAAGGTCTAAAATCACTCCCCAAATACAAATCCGGGTAAATTTCGGGTAAGGGCAACGATTCTGGGGCCCGCTTCTCGAAAGTCCCGGTAACTTTACGGGACCGAAATCATATATTCAAATCGAAATATAAAAAATAAGAGCGCGGGTCCTGGCTAGCAAACTACTCCATTTAGTTTCATTAACTGACAGTTTGATCATGTTAGATGCAAAACTATTGAAACCTCGATCTTTACTGTAAACGGAGACAGCTTACCGGGCCCGTTAATTATCGGGACTTTCGAGAAACGGGCCCCAGGCCGCTACATTTACTGTCACTTTTACTGCTTACGACTCGTACATCCGATGGCTATGGGTCTTCTAATATATAATTTTATTCAAACAAACAAACTTTACTCACAGGCTATGTTCACACTATATCGGATGGCTTTTGCGCCGCCACGAAAATCATATCGGATTGGTCTTTTGTTCACACATAATAACTGTTGTGGTGGCGCGTTTTCTGTATATTAGGGACTTTAAGATCCAAGGACGCGGACGACAACGAGAAGGTAAAAAAAACAATAGGTTTAATAAGCAAAACAACAACTTCGCACGTGCATCACACTTTTTTGTACATTTCTTTCTCTTTTTTGCACGACTACGACGTGAAAATGTCTAATTTCGCGTTTTATGGAGGACGTAAACAAGCAACGACGAAATTTTATTTCTATTTCTGAGCTTGAATATGGTCCCTTGAAATTCAGCTTCAGGAGGGTTCGCCTACAATTGACAGAGTAAGTGGGTAGGAATAATCGCAATAAAGACTGAAAGAAGGCAAATTCACTTTTTAAGCGACGTTCTTGTCGCCGTCGCGTAGTTGGATCTTAAAGTCCCTGTTAAGGGAGCGAAGCTGCGCCGCCCCCATCTCTAAAGCGGAGAGTCACATATCGGATAGGTGTTCACACTATAACGGACCGCGTTTCGTAGCGCCACGAAAAGCTATCCCGTGTGAACATAGCCACAGTGTAAAAGCTACAATACATTACAATCCCCCTGAAAATTATCAAAAAACGCCGTAGAGGAACCAAGTAAAGGTAATGAAAGTAACAAAATAAGGCAACCTAACAATACAGAAGCTGATCTGTAGAGTTATGAATTATGAGTTATGAATTTACCATGTTCACATAGACCATAACGCACCTTTCTTACCTTCCCCGCCCCCCCCCCCCCAACACCACCACCACCAAAAACAAATTGCATAACCATTGTTTCAATTTTTCCTGGGTATTACAGTTGTCCCAAGAGAAATCAAAGACAATGGTTATGTAAAATTTGGGGGGGGGTGAACAATGTGCATTATGGTCTATTTAAAAATAGTGAATACAATTTTTTGTCTATAGCTCAATAGAGGATCCAATGATATCAGTCTCCATACAATGCTTTAAAGTTGTTGTGATCTCTTTGTTGTTTTCCTTCCGTGGTTGATATATCGCAGGATTTGTTCCTCTCTAATCTATCACAGATTTCCAGAGAGGCAGGCGAGAAAATATAGATGTCTTATATCAATTTCCAGATTTTAGTCTGTATATGAGTTAAATGCTTGATGACAAGGCGTTATTATTGTCGTTTAAGAGTTAAATCAACTGTTAGAGCTGATTGGAATAGGACGAACAATTTCAATAAGTTTATGTTACGCTCTAAAGAAGGACAATATTCTTGAGGTCAGTGCTTTAGTTCTTCTTTTTAAGGTCATTTTTACAAAACTTCTAATTTGGTATGCAGATTTTATATCAATCAAGAATAAGCTGAACCACTTAATACTCTTAGCTCCATTGCATTGTTTTTTTTTTTCCTTCAGAAAACAAGAACTTATTTAAGAACCTAAACAGCCAATACTTGTGCTAATTACCATGCATTTTTATAAGAACCTGTTTAGGTTAACTTGGAAAATCCAGGTTTTTAGTGGCGGTATTTTATTGAAGTCAACGTGGTGTACCTCCAGCCTGTCCTCACGCCCCATGCCAAATATTGACGTGGTTCATTGTGGAAACTCCCCTTTGATCATGAAAGGGAAGGGGTGTCTGAGCAAGGAGCGGAAAGAAACGGGGGATGAAGATGGTGGGGTGCCTTTGTCGTGTTCATAGTTCCGTTTTCTGAAGTCTTGGAAGGCAGGACAAATTTTCAAGTAAGTCGCAAACAGAAGCAGAAACTTGGAAATTCCCTTGGTCAAACTGTTGGGAAGCCTTCTTGACAGGTAAGGTTCTTTGAACTTCCCGGAACACTGAAATAAGATCTAAAGTCTGCCAACGTTTGTTCAATAGCTCAAAGATTGTGGCAAGAGCTAATTTTCCTCTCTCAGTGATGTGTAAATGAAGAGTTTCCTGGGGAAGTTCTTCTGTGTTCAAATGTAGCCAGTACCCAATATCGGTTATTAGTAGCTTCGTGCTTGGAATGAGAGCCAATTTTTCAGTCAAATACCTTCGGGTCGTCCTTGAAAACTCTTTAATTTCATGGCTGTAGACAACCAAACTGTTTGTTAAAAGCACAACAAAAAGAGTAGACTCGTTATCTGCAATGCAAAGCAAAAACAAAATCATTAATCTTAACGTTTTTTATATTTATGTCTCTGACTCACCAGAAAGCAAATAAACAATAAACAATAAAACGTGCAACTTGCATCTTGTTTTGCAACATTGCTGCAAAACTAGTTGAAAAGTAATGTTTCGAGTTTTTCCAACCCATTTAAACCTGCCTTGTTGCACGATTACAGGCCAATAAGGCTGATCTTTGCTAAAGTCGCTTAATGCCTCGTTTGTGTACTAAAATCACCCCGCGCGGGGAAAAATTAATATAGCCACACACGACGCAATCCTCGACCAATCAGAGCACGCGAAACTCTAATCACCAATCCCCAGTTTTCAAAAAGTGGATAACGCTTTCCACTGGATAAATCTCTATCCAGTCAGTGGATTACGCAATTGGTTTTCCTTAAACTTTCAGGTGTATCCGGTGGACAGCGTTATCTAAGGTTTGAACAACCGGAGCCTAAGTAATTATGCTAAAAATGAATACAAGCCGTGTTGGGGATGCCAGAGGGGAAGCAAACAACTGAAAAAGAAACTCTTCTGCATGCAGTTTCTACAACGATCTGCGATCTGACAAAACTGCGTTTACTAAGAAGAACACTCAGACTGAACAAGAAGACAAAGTATCGCAAAGAGTAAGGCAACATCATAATGTAGTTTTTGTTCTTTCATCTGATCTTTATAAACTAACCTTCAACTTTCGCTTGGCAGATCCATTTGTCCATGACGCTCGAAATAGTCATTTCGAATTTCTCTTTCTCTCCCTCTAATTCTCCTTGTAGCTCACCTTCCTTCTGTTTTATCTTCTCCTCGATTTTCTCTATGTTTAGATTTAGTTGCTCTCTATATGCTATCACCCTTTGTAGTTTCGACTTCATTCCAGGTTCCTCTTTAAAAAACTGGGTTAACAGTTGCTTGTTTGTATTAATACCGTCCGGTATTTTTGCTCTTCTGGAAGAACCGTACAAACTCCTAGGGAGTTTTTTTTCCAGAAGCTCCTTTGCCGTCGCTTCCGTTTTCTTTGCGTTCCGGTAATTTGCTTCTTCCGTTTCCTTTCTAGACCGGAAACTGTTCAGATCTTTATCCAGTTGCCCTGCAACATTCACTGTTACTTCCGTTATCTGGCTCTTTGAATGTAGCCCTTCCAAAAAAGATCCGATGTTTTCAAAACATGCGTCTACAGAATCTGTCTTGTCAGTGTACGCGATTATTAAAACCTCTGCTTTGCTGTAAAACTTTGTGGATCGTTCACTGGAATGTAGGAACTTCGTCATTTCTTTCAGGGGAACAGAAGGACGAAGTGTGCGTGGTTTCACTTTCTCTAGGAACTCTACGAGATCATGTAACTGCAGCTCCTCAAAAACGTCTCTTAACAGCTTGATTGGGGTGTCTGGAAACAATTCACTTATTCTTTGCAGCCTTTTGAGGTTCAGTTTGTCTGGGTCTAGTCCAAATGCCCGGCAAAATTGATGCAGAGCAGTGAGGTCATTTTGGAGTCTCCGTGCCAATTCTTCCGTCACTGTGCTATCTAAATCTTTTAAGGAAAGATTGGAAATGTAATCTGGAAAGAAGGGAAAAATAGGAAATGCGACTAGTTAATTTCCCCCAGCTGAAAAAATAGTGTAGCGAAATGATAAAAGCAGTACTCACCTCGTCTTTTAAACGAGTTCATAAGAACTCCTAAGTGCGTCGATTCGTGGGTAAAGAAATTACAATTTCCAAGAAAAAGTGCCAACTCTCAGAATGCTTTCTCTTCGTCAGAGCGAATCGATTTAATCTGACCTCAGCTAGCGCTCGTGAGGTCAGCGTCTAACCTTTCCTTATATTATCAACTCAGTAGATTAAACCAAGAGACAATAACGGGCCGGAGAGGCCTGCGCCCTGTCTAGCCCTTGGGATATATGTGAATTTCACCAAAGTTATTTTTAGACCAATTAATTGAAACCAATTGAAAGATAGTTTTCGGAAAGGTCCAAAAATTGAGGAATTAATTCAGTCTTTTCAAGAGAGAATTCAATAGCTGCCATAACAATATTCTGCATTGTTTGCCTTGAGGCAGTCGTGCTTAGACTTGATGACGTGTCAATCTGACGTATCAGGAATTAGTATCAATGCTGCGTTCCGATTGGTTGAGCTACTACTAGGCTATATGTTATAGCCCACTAGTAGCGAAAAGCGCAGGCTTTGAAAACCAAAACAATGGCGGCTGAATCGCGTTTTGCGAGCTAAAGTTGCTTTGTCTCGATATTTTTGACCAACTAGATGGATTTTACTAAAACAATTATTCCTCTCGCCCTAATGGCCTCTGAGTCAATAGCCCATTCAGCCTTCGGCCTCATGGGCTATTGACTCAGAGCCCATTCGGGCTCGAATAATAATTGTTCATTAGACTTCAGTTTGAATGCAACCTCTAACAATAACTTTAGTGAAATCTTACCGCTGGCTTCCTCAGGTCCGCCAAGTTCAGAAGGAGCAGCATGTGATCTCGATATTCCACTGTCGCTGGTTTCTGTTGTAAAGCTTTGTGTATCAATATCCTTGGTTTGTGCTAAATAATTCTGAATGTAAGCGACTTTCTCCTGCCATTCCTCCCTCTGCACGACAGGACCTTTACATGATAGAATTAAACCAAGTGTAAAGGAAAACAAGATAATGAGCATAACTCTCTCTCTCCTAAACAGAGGCTCCCTCAGGGATTCCATGAAACAAAAAAAAACTATAATAAGAAAAATAATTATTGTAGACGCGCGGGGAAAGTTGGAAAGAGGGAAAGGCGTCCCCACTCGTGCTTTCTTTTTCTCTCTTCTCAGCCTCCTGAAACCCAAAGAAGCTTCTGCATGTGAAAAGAGAGCGAACTGACGTAAGGAAAACAGAGCATCCAAAATACCCATCTAATCAAATAATGATTTTTCCGGGTTCAGTGCTATCCAAGTTCATAACTAAAATGATTTTCCTCTTCTAACACTTTTCCAGTTTTGAAGATGAAATTAGGTATCAACCGAGCGTTAATGTTAACTCCAAAAAAGAGAAAAATCACCTTGTGCTTCACTGATTAACTCCTCACGGGCTTTGTCGTATTCCTCTTCGTCGATGGTCACAATCACTTCCACTTGTTCTTCCCCGGTAAGTTCTCTCAATTCATCAATGAAAAACAAAGCTTGCAGGGATTCTTTAAGCGTCCCGTCTGTGTACAAACACCACAAGGCGTTAAGAGCAGAAATGTTTTCGGCTTGAACTTTGAGGATCACGCTCCCTTCAGCTATTTGCAACAGTTTAACGCCAGCAGGAAGGACGCAGGTATTAACAGCAGTTACAAACTGATCATATGTGCAGCCACGCCTCAGTAGCTGATAGGCAGACGCTATAATTGTACCCCCTGCAGCCACTTTGAACAATGTCTTTATGTTCAGAACTGAAAATCAAGGAAGACAATAACAATTTTCAGCCAAAATAGTAATAAAGTCTCAAAAAATGTCCTCTGAACTCTTTTTTAAACAAACAATGCAAGACTTGACCCCGGGGTACTCCTTTATATAAGCTATATAGGTATATGCTGGCCCATCGGGTAGGGTTTTTGCGCCGTTTTGGTCTGAAAGCGGGTATACACGTTGCCTATTTTGGTCTGGAAACGGTTATGGTTTTTGAACGAACTACAGGAGTGTATGAACGTATTTATCGTTTCAATTCCAAATGAGTAAGAAGGAAAGAGAAGTATGCGAACTCGAAACGGATTTAAACAATTTTTTTGTTTGCGCTCTAGTCTAAGTAATGATAACATAATTTCTGCCTAAAGGCCAGGTCTGAAAACGGGTAGGGATTTTAGAGGTATGGGGCCCGTTTCTCGAAAGTCCCGGTAACTTTTCGGGCCCCAATCCAAATATTCAAATCGAAATATAAAGAATAATAGCGCGGGTCCTGGCTAGCAAACTACTCCATTTTGTTTCATTAACTGATAGTTTTATCATGCTAGATGCAAAACTATTGAAACCTCGATCCTTAAGGTAAACGGAGAAAGCTTACCGGGCCCGTTAATTATCGGGACTTTCGAGAAACGGGCCCCTGGTCTGAAAACGGGTCTGGGAAATCATATTTTTTGGTCTGGAATAGGGTCAGGTGTTGGAGAACCGGGCGGCACACCCCCACCAAGAATTCCCAGGAGTACCCCCCTGGGTACTTGATTTGCAGGAGTGGAAATCTATGAAAGGCTATATGCCATAACCGAGTTTCTGAGATCAATTAAAACTGTTTCATAGACAGCCAATGGAGCTGGTGCTTGAGCGTGCACGGCTTCCTCTCGCTCCAGATGTTCATTGACCGCTTGCACGTTCTTCAATTGCGCACTGAAAAGTTCAGACTGTACGTTTTGAAGTCTATCAGCTATATGATCTGAAGAAACATTAAAACCAAGATATGACTGAGAGTTCTAACATAGGTTCACTAGCCGTGAAATGTTAAACAGTTTGCCAGTGTCTAAATATTTTATATCAGTACTGAACAGAAGATCTAATCAATCCTAACAAAAATTAACATATACTTCTCACTTATGAGAAAAATCACAGCAGTGAGATCTTTGGGCGCGATCCATTCAACCAACATTCAAACCGGTCCGACCTCAAAAGGTGGACCTGTTTTTTCGAAACTTTTCCGGTTGAACCGAACCGATCCATTGAGTTTTGGACCGAAATTTCCGGAAATTTTGGTTAAATGGATCGCGCCCTTTGTCTCTGTTCAAGAGGCCGTGTCTCCCCAGCGGGGGGGCGGGTTGGGAATCCCGTTATGTGCATGGAGCTTAATAATTACGAGCGCAACCTACCTCCAGCTAAATTGCTGCTGGCCGACGACGCTATCGCAGCTGCTTGTGCTGAAATAATAATAATAATAATAATAATAATAATAATAATAATAATAATAATAATAATAATAATAATAATAACAAAGTCTTTATTCATCAACAGATAAAAAATACATATCTTTCGTTACAAGTAAGTGTAAGAAATTTTAAAAAGGTAAAAAATGAGAATTAAAAAAACTAGTATATTGCATAGCTAATTCATATAAAAAACTCAACGATTAATAACTAGAGCTTTTAAAACGCAGAGTGTTAATCTTAAGTCTAAAACAAGTTTCTTTCCTAAGATTGTAACTGGACTGTTTAACACGAGGCATAATAGATAAAAGTGGATGTCCTTTAGCATTAGAAACTTTTCTCAAAATTTTACGGTCTTGCCTCTCTAAGAAATCATAAACACTTACGGGCTTAGACGTAGATTTCCTTTTAAAACAGCGGTCTAAGAAACATTGTACAGGTATGTAAGATCGGACTTGGACGCGGCGTAGACAGTGCGTAATTAATATCAGGTAGAACTATTGTATTAAAGAGAAATGAAATATTTCGTAATTATATATTGAGACAATAGACATTCGTTTGGTCCCTCTGAGTACAAAAATGGTCCTAAAACAGGTTATAAGGGGGAGAAAAAAGTAGAATCAGCAAAAATCGCCGTGACCGATCGTGAGGATATACCCAAAGAAGAATCTAGAACGGTAACAATACCTTTTCGCCATTCAAATTCTTCCTCTTGGTTTTTTCCGTCTTCAAACTCCTCCACTTCCCGAAGTAAATCAGTTTTCTCCTGTCGGGTCAAAATCTCCTTCAGGACTTCAAGATGATCGATCCCTAAAGAGTCATTGTTTTCCAGCTCCTGAAAAAGTGATCTAACATCTTGTATGCTACTATGCTTTTCTTCCGGTATCCGATCATTGCAAATGGCGACAAGTTGTTCGAGACAATCGGGCTCGTCTAGAACATGAATAATTCTCTCCAGCAAGCTGTTGTATTCCTTTCGTTTACTCTCGAACGATTTGACATTCCCAAAAAGTGACCATTCTTCAAGGCCTTTTAAAAGATCTTTTAAAATATTCAATTTATCTGCACCAAGAAAACCATTCTGCTCCAACTCTACAAACAACGGGAAGACATCTTGCATGTTTTCTTCATCGCGAGGGGCCACCTTCCCTCTACACATAACAAGCAATTGCCGTCCTACATTCAGCTCGTTCAGTCTCTGGCTTATTTTGAAAAGCAAATTGTTGTATTCGATAGCAGACATTTTGAAGACCAGACGTACTTATTCAGGTCAACTTCTACCCAACCACGGCACGCGATGTGTCAATTTCTCTCCGTTTGTGACGCGATAGAAAAGTGGGCAAATCAATATGAAAGGTCACGCAAGAGGAAGTTTTGCAAATATAGAGTATATATATTGACTTACCATTTTTACAATGCAAACTTATTATCATACATTACCATACCCCAAGACAAAGGATCGAAAATAAAACTTAAGCCAATTACAACATTATACAAAGTAAATACCAAGCAAACCTTCGGCAATCGACATTATACAATATGTGTTTGTGCCACAACTTGAATATTTTATAAAACTCGTCACTGGGGATGATTTTTCTCTCTTAATATTGATAATGAAAAAAGATCTAAAATTAAACATAAACAGGATAGATTTTTCTCCATGAAGTGGTATAAGAATCAGGTTATAGGCATGTCTGGGCATACTGGTCAAACTGAAAAGAGAGAATTAGCTGTAGAGGCAGGCTCCCTTTTTTCACCAGAATGGCCTTTACTTGCCGGGTTTTTATACTTTATGTATACTGATGGTTAACGCTCCGCCGGTGCAGTGAAATTAAATGAGACTCACGTTTTATAAATTCGGCCTAAAAAATGCAGTTGTGATAATTATATTAGATACATACTTCACTGGGTCTTGCTAAAGTTAAGGTTCTCTTCGTGTATAGTAATCTCTAAGTGAAATCAATCCTGGCAAAGAATATGAGATGGAAAACGGCACTCAACAAAGTTTTATACTGGTGTGCTCCGCCCGAAGTCCATCGCCTTGTTCTTTTAAATAGGGGTACCATTTTTGTCCACAGAAAAGGTACCCCTCATGACTGTCTATTGACAAATGGTACCCCTTTCAAATACTGAACAGTGCTTCCCTGCCCCGTCATTTTAATATGAATAAATCAATAAACCAGGAAGTTTCGTCGTCATTTTTACACCGAAATGATAGACATGTACTTTAACTTTTGTTTAACTAGTGAAATCCTTATCCTTTAATTTTCTCTGAAAAAAAGGCGATTAAAAAGGTACCCCTTTCGTGTGGATTCTCCCCTTATAGGTTGCCATTAAATGGAGTGATTCCCCCGACAGCTCCATGGTACATGCATAATGATCAATTCTAATAATGGAGAACGTTATCGAATTCAAGTACAGTCGAACCCCGCTTTACGGACACGCACGTAATACAGACACCTGGTTATTACAGACAGTTTTCCTTGTCCCTGGGGAAAGCCGTTACATCCGGCCTCTAAATTCAACCCGCTTAATACGTACGGACACCCCGTTAATACGAACATGTTCTAAGGTCCGTATTAACAGGATTAGTCTGTATACTGGCGTGACCTTAATTACATCAATATAGTCAAACCCCGTTAATACACTGAGGGGACATTAGAAAGTGTCCTTATTAACAGATGATCCGTATTAAGTGGGTTGAATTTAGAGAAAATGAAAGGGCTAGGGATAAGAAAAACTTTCCGTATTAACGAACTGTCCGTAAAGCGGGGCTCGACTGTGCCAAACCTGGCATGATCATATCTTGAACACTTATAACGTCAATTAGGTGCCTTTTTTTTGTCAGTGTCTTCTTTCTCTTGGCACCGTCCACATCGCATTCTCCTTTGACATCAGTTCAGCGGTTCGTACTTTACGTAACGCGAACGAAAAAGTCACCAAAAACAATGCCCCTACCCAGGCTAATTCAAAGATCTACTGCCTGTTTGTCCGGGAAGGTATTCCCGGGAATTTTTGGTGTGGGTGTGCCGCCCCGTTCTCCAAGTCCCGATCCAATTTCAGACTGAAAAATGTTATTTTCCACAACCGTTCTCACTCCAGGCCTCTTGAATCCAATTCCGTTTTCAGATCTGGTATGGGTAGAAATTAAGTCATCATTTTTAGACAAGCACTCAAACAAAAAGATTTCCTAACATCCATTTCGGATTAGCATATTCCTCTTTCTTTTTTATTCATTTGGAATTGAAACGACAAATACGTCCATACACTCCCGTAGCCCTCGTAAACCATACCCGATTTTAGACAAAAATGGGCAAGGAATGATCTACACCCGTTCCAGACCGAAACGGCGCAAAAACCATACACGTTTTGGGGCGGTATATACCTATATGGCTTTTATAAGGGAATACCCCCCGGGCTCATAGAAGTAGACTAACCCCTCGAAAATTTATTATTAATTGTTATCATTATCGTTATCATTATCATCATCATCATCGTTAGTAGTACTAGTAGTAGAAGTATTATCTTTATTATTAATTTAACGAGTACCTTGATCAATTGGTAAATCTAGTGTGGTTCAGCGGATGTGTTTAGAGATGTTATTAAGGAAATTTTCCTTAAAGAAATGGTCTCTCAAGTCAAACAAAGCCTCTAACAGAAATTGGTTATAGTCGCTCCTGGAAATAAATGAAATAGAAAAAACTGGTCAACAAAACACCTACAGGCCGACAAGAGCCGACCAAAAATTAACGATTCAACTACTGAACAAAACTTCTGGATAGATACAGTCTGAAAATCGAGCTAAAATTTTCAGCTGATTTTTCGATTCGCAGCTTTTTTCAAATTTGCAAATCCGATAAATTTATTGCAAAAATCCGTAATTCGAAAACCTATTTACCCTCACCTCCTAGATGAACTGTTGAAACTCTTAAAACGCTGCGCCAGAAACATTTTGGTGGGCTTCTCATTTTGGATAGTCCTTGGCATGCAGGGTCTTTTGCTGATTTTCGAAAGCTTAAATGGGTGTCGATTGGTCAAATTTTCAATAATGTCCACGCACAAAAGAAAACGGCACCAGAAGTCCCATGTGGACTCAATTCCGTCGAAAAGTACTTCCCCGAGGTCGGTAGCTTTTCTGGTGTCTTTTTAAGAGTGCATGTGGTAATTTTTTCACAAATACAATGAAAAAGATGACGAGTGCAAGAAAAAAAGGTAACAGAAAGTAGCCTTTACTTTTAAAACCTCTTTATCGTATTTAATTTGATTTTAGAAGGATATTAGAAGATCGAGGGACGACAATCTTGCACGCATTGCTGGCCGCTATAGTTTTCCCGGGAAACCGTAGATGCCGTGAGGCTCTGGGAACGAGAACGGAAGCGGGGCGAACGCCATGATGCTGCATTGATGAAAAATTGCTACATTTTTCATCATTTAATGCGTAAAAATGTAAGAATATTGTTATATTTTCTCGCTGCTGTCTTCGTAATACTTATTTTCTTCTTCTGTGGTTTTTAAGGGCGGACTTTGTCGCTGAGGTAGTTGGGAAATATTGCTGAATGCTGCTGAAATGAAATGACCCTCGTGTTTCTGCAGTCCTCAAGAGATGACCCCTGAAACTTGAACTGTACGAGGCTTCTCACAGGTAAGATTGACATATTTTCCAAAATACTGAATTTTGGTTGGGCTGTAAAGAGTTGAATTATTAGTTTCTGGCAGATTTAGCCAGTGGTTTTCTAATACTTGGCACTGTTGTTTATGTTTGTCGCGGGAAATTCAAATAGGCCATTTCTCACGTACAGTTATGGGCTTAGTGTCCTAGGCTTTGAGTGAGCGTGAGGCTGAGGTTGATCTTGTTTTGATACAAACCTCCTTCCTTTTCGAATGTAAATTTTGCTTATAAAAATACTAGTTAGCATAAGAACAACATGATTTACATAATAAAGCAGGCAGGGTTGTATCAAAACAAGGTCAACTCCAGCCTCGTTTCCACCTGTAACTGTAAAATGGGGATATTGAAGAATAAACTCAATAGAATTGATCCCAGTATTGACCTAAAGTACAGAGAGAACACAGATCACAGTAGTGTGTCACCCTAGTTTTATTCACTTCATTGAGGGACAATAGCCTATAGGCTAAAAGCAAATTTAGCAGACAAAGACTGCAGACATCTATATAACCTGTGATCAAGCAGTCTTTCTTCCCATTTTGTTGGGGAGACGAGGGGAAAAGGACACCTAGGCAGACACCTCAGCCTAGACGCTCATACTAGGCAGTATGTTGTCTTTGATTTCCAATCGAAATCAGCTGCTTGAAAGTTTGTAAAAATAATAATGATTGACCATTTTTTTGTTTGAATAACAATGCGTAAAGTAAATTTTACTTTACGTGTCGTCTGCCAGTTGTCCAGAATCTGGAATTTTGTCTGACTGGTTGAAAAACAGAGAAGATCCTTCGGAGCACGGCACCGATTGGTGACTTCCAGAGCAATTAGATACTAGGTTTTGTCACCTTCATCTCGTCATGACAGAAACCTCAAGATGATTGAGGAATTCTATTAACAGCAAGCTAAGCTTAGGTTTTAAAGCCAGGTCTTCAAAGAAAAAATCAATACTTTTTTAATGAATCAAGTCAACAATGAACAGAGAAAAACCTTGAGAGCTGAGATGAGGATGAGTTGTTATTTGTCACTAGTAAGGATATCCACTATTTCTTCTTCCACGCTTTCTTGCTCGTACTAGGCAAAACTGTTGTCTTTGATTCCCGATCAAGTTCAACTGCATGAAAGTGTGTAAAGAAATAATTATTGACGATTTAAACCTGCACTTTTGCAAACTGATGATAGATTTTTTGCCACAGATTCAATACCTTTATACTTTTGTCTCTTCCAGTAAAATACAGAATTCAGTTGCTCCACTATTGTTTTCAATGAATTATTAATTTGTTTGAATTGACGGTTTGAACAAAGGTACCTGACACTGCAACAATAAGGCAGGATTTGCAATAACAGCAGTGCTAACTTGGGCTTTAAAATCTGTGATGTTTTGGCTAATGACTATTGTAGCAACTTAACATTCACCGCTTGCCTGTAAAGTAGATAAATACATTTTGTTAATAGTCGCCATCGTTGCAAACCCCCTGAATTTCCTGTAAAATCTGATACGATAGCACAAATGTTGACAGATACCTCAATTAGGGGCAGCAGACGACCCATGTATCAGGCATTTTTTTCCCCCTTTTCCCGAAAAGATCGCAGGTTAACATCTATAGGATAAATTGAACTAATAGGTCCTTTGCATGACTTTACCATTTGATCAAC